GAACCTATTTAATTTTCACGGTGACCACTTGAAGAATATTTGTTTATTCAAAAAAATATTAAACAAGGATGTCCAGTTATTTTAACACCACCCTTTTTAATATTTAAGAATAAAAGAACATTCTTTTTAATTTAATTATGAATTTATATTTATGTGTTTCTAATTAATTTATTAAGGATACTAAACTTATTTAATTTCTAATTAAGGAACCTAAACTGGATTTAATTAATAACTATAGAACCTAAAATCTAAGGCTTAATTAAAAATATAAAGACTAATTAATATTTAGTGACCAAATTAAAAGATTGGAAAATCTAAACGATTTATTCAATAATTAAACAAGTGACCAATTCAAAAGATTCACAAATTAACACTTGATATTAACAATTAAACACGTTAAATAAAGGATTCAAAGCAATTGAAAAGAAATTAATGACTAAATTGCATTCAATTAAAATTCGGAGTACAAATTTCAAACAAATGGTGACTAAAATTAAATTAATGAAAAGTCACTTTCTAAAAGCAAAACATGTGTGAAGGTGGGTATTTTAATGAAGGTAAATAGCCCAAAACATCAACACTATAAGATCCAAAAATTCAACATAGAGCTCATTTTTACACTACCAAAATTTTTGCTCTCTTCCAAATGCTCTCAACCACTTCCAACTGAAAATTACTTAGATTCAACTTATTCATCCATTGTTCTTGATGTTTTTCAAAATATTCAAGCCAAAAACCAAGTTTAGATCCAAAATAAACACTAAAACACGACCCAAACTTGTTTATTTCGGATCAAACACCCATATTCTTTATTAAATATCAAGTGTTCATCCCAAAAAAACACAATTTGATTCACCAACAACATCCAAAAACCAACTGAACTTGTTTCTTTAAAATCAAACTTAACCTTTTCCCTTGAATCCCCAAGAACACCAAGATTACCCAAATACCCCAAAGCCAAACTCTTCTTAAATCTTAAGCCTAAAATCACCATCCAACACCTAAACCACCAAGACCAACAGCCAAGCCACCTCTCTACCGCCGGACCCGACACTGGTCGGCTACCTACTACCCAAACCGCCGAACAAAAAAACACCCGAACCAACACTTATTCGAACAAAAAAATAAAGGAAAAAGGAGACTCACCCAAAAATGTGTTTCCCTCTTGTGATAGTAAACTTTCTTTCCTCCTTTCTTTCGAACTTTAATGATGCTTATGCTTGCTTAATCTTCGTGTGTTTTGATATTGAAATGGAAGCTTATTTATAGTGTTGATTTAGCTCTTAGATTCAACCATTACCTCCAAAATTCATTAGGAAATGGTTACAACCGTCTTTGATTATAGAAGCTTTATGAGTTTCTAAGTTTTTGGGATTTTTTTTTGAATTTTTTATGCTTCAAAATGGATCGGCGACGGGTGCGACGACGATTCACCGACTGGCGGTGACACTTGCTTGTTGCCCTAGCTCCCTTGGAGAAGATGAAGCATGGTCATTGGATCTATATTTGATCCAATGGCCTAGATTGTTGCATGATTCCAAGGCATGAATTGATGACATCATCTCCCTAAAAAATTGGGCCATCATAAATGTTTTTGTCTCCATTTGAATTTTGAAGTCAAAATCTCCCCCACCTTCAAGCAACAAACCCAATAAGTGTAGTTTTAGGCTTTTTATTTTTTATTTTTATTATTTAATGCATGTATTATGTAACAAAAAAGTGGGCTATGTTTGGGCCTATGTAAAAAAAATGTAAGTAGACTATTTAAAATGCAAATGGATTATTTATTTGGGTTTTTTACATTATTTATTTATTTAGCAAAATAAATGGACTATACTAACGTGACTAATATAACATGCAACTATTATTTATAAACTATATAGTATATACAAACTATATAATATGCAATGTAACACACACTAATTATTTAACTATTTAATATGTAATTATTATTTATAAACCATATGACATGCAAATGCAACTATATTTAATATGTATTATCACAAGCAACTATATACTATATACTATATATATACTATATACTATATATATATCATACAATAATATGAAACGTGTCACACTGGATAAAATGGGTGATGATAGAAAGTTATGACAAGTATATGAAAGAAAAGAATATGGAAATGAAGTGAAAGTTTTGAAACATGTACGAATGAAAAGAATGTGAAATATTTGTTATATCTGATGATGACTTACATGATTTTAGATAAAATCATAAGATGATGTTTTTCAGGTCTTCAAAGAGGAAAATGGGGATAAATAGATGGTTTAAAAGTTTCAATGTTTTATTTAAATTTCATATTTATGTTTTATGATACTTTATGATATTTATGTTTTATCTTACCTTAGTTATGTTATTGTCTCACTAAGTTTTACTTAGCGCGTGATGATTTTCATGCGTATGTTCAGAAAGAGGAAAGAACATGAAGTGAGGAGTCTTTTTATCATATTTTCAAAAAATCTTATCTAATATCAGAATCAATAAGACATTTGATTTATGACTTATTAATGACATGTATATTATATCTGCCTTTTTGCTATATCGTGCTTATTTTAAAATGATCTGTAATAGTAAACTAAAGCCATTTATTTTTGGAAGTGTTATTTATATTAAAACTTATGCATGAATATCATATTCATGTTTTATAAATTAAAATGGTTTTCAAATTAAGTAGAATTTAGGTAGTGTTGAGTAGCTTGGGAAACAACACTAAACTTTCTAATCGCTACTTAAAATTAGATTCATTTTAAATGATTAAATATTATTTTACGATTTTATGTGAATAATGAAATAGTTTTAAAGTTGATGTAATATCTTTAACTCGTATTTCAAAACGTATACGGGTTATGGGTGTTACACCGCCGTTTTAGTCGACCGTCGACATGTCAATCAATCAGAAAGCCAAAATCAGTCAAGAAAAAATATATATACAAAGAAAAAAGTCCATTCAACCAAACCCCAAAGCAAATCCTATGACTGTTAATCACCGAAAATAGGATTATCATACCCTATCTTCTTGGTAGCAGCAAAAGTATTTCACCAATCCATCGCATGCAAGATAAAAGAGGACAAAGTTTGAACGAATAACAGGGGTAGAATACCAATAAATCAAGACGAAAAGAAGATAAAATAGGGAAAAGAATAGAGAGAGATTCAGAATAAAAAGGAGCAACTAGATTTGAAAGAAAAAGGAAAGAAAAACAAGAGAGGAAGAGAAAAGTTCTTACCTTGGTTCAAAGTTCACCGAAAAGCCGAAGAGACACTGGATTTTAGTGATTTCGAAAGGTATAAATTTAGATCTAGGCTTCTAGGATGGGTCTTTGGCAACGGTGTCTAGGATTTGGGTTAAGGAAGTAAAAAAAACTTACTAGGTTTGATTGAGATTTTTTAGCAACCGGCAGCGGTTTTCGACGCCGAGGACCGATGGTCGTGCGCCTGAGAGATACTAACCCGGTTTGTGTTTTGTGGGTTAAGCATGTATGGGCTCAACCCATCTTGGTTTCAATGCATTTCAGTCCCTTTTCCATGTTAACTTGAGTTATGCGTTGCTTTCTACATAGGATACTTTATTTTAAATACTTCCTTTTTAGTACTTATTTATTTATTGTTGAGTTACAGTTAAGAACTATTTTTTTCTTGTTAACTTGTGGTTATTTCATTTTAGTCATGTTTTCACTCTTGAAATATGTTAACTCTTCTTTAAATTGCATTAGTGTTTTTTTAATCTGCTCCATGTTCTTTGATAATTTGATTACTTAAATACTTCACTATTGTTTTTACACCTCTAAATGTTTTGTATTTAATCATGTATTTATTGTTGTTTTGCATTTAATCATGTATTTATTTTTGTTTTGCTGATGGATTTTTTATTATTTAGCCTTGATTGGTAGCTTAATTTAGATGTTTTAGAAATTTATATTAGACTTTTAAATTTAGTAAACTTTCAGTTTAGCCACCTTTTAGGTCCTAATTTAAATAATTTTACTTATTTATTTTAGTCGTTCTTTTGACCTTAGTTTGGGAAACATTAGATATCACTCATATTAACCAAATCTTACTATGTAGATTTGATTTGAAACCTTAGTAAATATGTGTGAGTTACCTTAGTTTGAATGTATTTTATATAATATATTTTTATCACTGTTATTTATGTATATACATTTCAAGTATATATATCGTACCATGTACATATATTTTATTTTAAAATTTTTTTGTGGTAACGTCTCGAACGACTGTTAAAAACTTCCAAATACATGAAGTGTTTTTCTTTAAGACACACTAGTGAAAGGTGTACTGTCAATTCCTAAATTAATAATTATAAATATTTTGTTTGTCATTTTTTGTCATTTATTAATTATTCGATGGACATTTGATCCATTCTGTATATGTCAATTAATAATGTTGCTTTCATCGTTCATTCATTCACTTGTTCAATATTTTTTGATAAAATCAAAGGCAATGTTGTCTTGTATCGTAGATTAACGAAATTATGTCTAACATGACTAGATTTCAATTTCCGTTAATTCATATAGTAAGGGGACATCCTTTTTAAATAAAATCGAGTGAAACAAACCATTATCATCGAGTTGAATATTTTAAAAGAGATTCACTCATTTTAAAATTTATCGAAATAAAAGGATCGTAACTTTAAATTTAGAGTTCAAATATCTAAAATTTCACTACTTAGACAATGTAAAATCGAGAAGTGCCAATTTTGGGCGCTTAGGGTGTTATTCCTTCCCTACACGCAATCTACTCTCGAATCCTTAAAAACGAATTTCTGGTAATACACAGACTAATTTTTGTCTTTTAAATGATTTTTCTAAAATTCATTAAAAAGATTTTTTTAGGTATTTGATCTACATAACCCAAAGGTCGATGACGACTCCAATTCAAATTAAATCAAATTAAACAAAAATCCAATTTTCCCAAAATAAAGTCATAATTATTTTTAAAGCTAATTAATTAAAAAAATGGTTATTACAAATGGTATACTCTTTGCAATTTGTTTAGTTCTTCTCACACGCCTTTGATTTGTTATATAAGAGCGGGTTATGGATCAGAAAGTGAAGCAGATGAGGAAGCAGCAACAGTTACTCTGACCAGTGATCTTAGTCGAGTTAATCGCGCTTCCACAAAAAATGCTGTCAAGCTTCAAGAAATTGGACCTAGAATGACTCTCCAACTCACTAAAATCGAGGGTGGACTATGTTCTGGTGAAGTTTTGTTTAGTGAATATGGTACGTTCCTCTATCTTAGCAATTTTGTATCATCACTGTCAAGAAAAATTTGTTAACCCACAAAAGAAATAGAAAGTCTAACATTTTCTTCTACGTGCTAGAATAGTCACTAAAATATATCAGATTATAAGGTGATCTGCCATATACAGTAACACTATTCAACTAGCACTTTTATAAACTATTCTCTATTTATCAGGAAATGGTGGCAATAAGAGAAAGGCAGGCAGTGAGGAGGGTAATGAAAAGGAAGATGGTGAGAACGATGACGAAATGGAAGGTAGTGATAAAGATAATGAAGGGGGGGATAATGAGCAAGATATAGAAGAAAGAGAGGAAGATGATGAAGAAGATTAATAATGCTTTGGTAAAGTGGTAGGATACAACTTCCATATTCTCATTAAAATGGCATGAAAATTATATAATTAGATGTATTATTTACATGGGAAGGTGGTTGCCTAGTGAGAGAGATCATCTGAGGAGATAAGTGCCAGTTAGTCTCTCTTCTTTTTGATCTTTTTACTTTCCCATCTTTTTGATTTACTCCTTATTTAAGTTTTTTAAATTTGTTGTAAAATATCCACAGAGTTTGATATGAGAAAGAGAAAACTCAATTGATGTCAATGCTTTAACTTTTCTAATATGTATGTAGGTGTATATATATATTATGAAATCTTAAGGTAATTGATACAATGTCAATGAAGTTCACAAACTCTACAAAAAGCGTTCCCATGTTTCACAAATTTTTTGTCGAAACGATTTCTTAAAAACATATTTAAATTTTAAATAAGTGTATTTTTTAAAAAATTGTGTCTCGATTAATTTGGTATTTTCCTTTTTAAAGTTTAAAAAAAGGGTTCAAGGAGTCTCCACCAATCTTTGATTAGGGTGTGATTGGGCATCCAAAATGTTTTGTTATTTTAATAAAATTTAATTTAAAAATTATTAAAACAACATTTTAAGGTCTGCGTACCCAAAATTGAATTCAAGAGTCGATTACGCATGGGGAAGGATTAACACCCCCACAGTGTCCTAAATCAGTACCTAGTCAATTACTTAGTTGTCTTTGCAATGAATCTTACAAGTTCCAATTTAATTTAATTTATGATCCCTTCAAACAATATTCTTTGAATTTTAGAATGAAACATAATAATACTTAATTATTTTCCATCGAGAAGAAACGACCTCTCATACCTTGAGGCAGTCAATTCCTACTCCAATCAAAATAAAGAAATATTACAATTCCATTCTAAAGTTCATTATTAATTCGGTTGCACGAATGATAATAAAACAAATTAAATTAAAAATTACCAATCCATTTAGAAAGAATAAGGATATTCGATTATTTAAAGACGTCGAGATCAGAACTTTTATAAGTTCTAAAGATCTTTTCTCGAAGAATTTAAATAGACGAACATTTCTATTTCTGTCGTTCCCAAATTTAGGCGCGATTAAATTTTAGGGTTTTATTTGACGGGATACACTTTCATTTTAAAATTGTCGGAAGTAACTTTCTTATACGTTAAGACAACCACTCCACGACGACCTTAAAATGAAAGGGTACTACCCTTAGTCCAATTATTTGGGTGGAGTCGAGTAATGCTTACGAATGTATCATACATATCATGTCAAAATGATGTCATATGTTCCATAAATTATCCACTAACATTCATGTTAAAGTGGTAAGTAATATATTTAGACTAAGCAAAATTTATGTGTGCACATCATAACATTTTGGGTACAAAAAATGGAAATAACAAAAATAAAATGGGTTTAATGAGCATGTGACCAAATTTAAAAAGAGCTAGCTCAAGGACTTAATCAGTAGGTCAAACAAACAAAGGTCATAAAGCAGGTAAAGTCATATATTCCAGGTACCATAATCATAATAAACCATAAATATGAATGGGACTAAAATGAAAGTTTTGGAAATAACATGTCAAATGTATAAACAGTGCAAAATATAAGCAAAGATATAGTAGGGACTGAAATAAAAATTAGAAAAATTACATGCCAAATGAAAAATTACGCATAAACTAAAATCTAAGCCTAAGGATGAAAATGGAACATACATAAAATTTGGAGACAAAAAATCAAAAACTTTAAAAGTCATGAAGTAGGACTAAACTGCATTAAAACAAAATGGACGAAGCCCTACAAAAATAACCCATGTGCTGAGAGAGGGCTACCCTATCCCCTAAATGATGTCATTTTGGCAGCGCTATATATATGGTAATTTGGGTAAAAACTAAAACCTAGCTTATTTGTGTTGCAATTCTTTTTCTAAACATCCCCCTCTCCTCGTCGTTTCTCTCTAACTCTCTCAACCCCTTTATTTTTTTCTTTCTTCTCACTTCAATCTTTCTTTTTTTTCACTCTTCTTCCTCGATCAGGGTAGCCATCGTGGCTGCCAGCTTTAAACGACCCCAACGAGGGGGCTAAAAGACCATCGAACGGCCACCACCAAGTGACCCCAATAAGGGGTTAAACAAACCTCAATAGAACCCCTCTCCAAAAACCCCAAAAACCAAGACCTAACCTAACCAAACCAAACCCCTAACAACTTTTGATGAACCAGGCAGCCGCCACGACCTTCTACCACCCACGAGGATTCGACGAGGAGCCGAGAGATTCTGAACCCACTTCTCAAGAAATCGAAACCCACCCCAAGGCTTAAACTCTTATGAACACAATCTTATAACCCCAAACCCAACCAAAAAAGACAAAGGATGAAGGGTTTACCTTTAACTTGATGGGGTTTTGCTTTTAATTGACCGCGACGGGACCTTTCGGATCGAAAAGGTAAGAACATTTTGTTTTGGGGTTTTTTCTTTCTTTTAGGTACTAGGTTCTCCACTCATAAAAGAGGCTCTATCTTTTCTTTTAGGCTTCATGTTTTTAGAAAAAATCCCGCACTTTTTTTGTTATTGATATTTTCTTTTTATTTTGGCTTTGCATGCGAGGGATCTTACTAGTGTGGCTGATTTGAGCGCTTGAAATGCCCTTTGTGCTTTTTTTGGATTTATGTGTCGAGGAGGCTCTGCCCTTCTGTCACTGCCATGGCAGAGGGAATGTAGCAGGCGATGAGGGTACCAGGCGTGGGCACGTGTGGCTGTTGGAATGATACGCGTGCATCTCACGCGTGAAACTAGATGGTTGACATCCTTGAGTGAAGCTAGGCCATTGGATCGCTGACTGGATCCAACGATTAAAATCATGCAACAACGGTAGAAGATAATCTTAGGGTTAATAAACCCTAAATTAACCACTAATCTAGACCATTGGTAGAGTCTGAATCTCACCATTGTGAGTTTGTGTGGCGCTAGATGAGGGAGTGAAACTAGGGTTTCCTCCAAACCCTAGCTGGCACTTGGGCTATTGCTTAGGGCCTCCAACCGGTTGGGCTTGGGAATATTAGACCACTCTTTCAGGCTTTGACTGCTATTTGAGCCTGTAAAAAAGAAATTCATAAAAAATAGTGCTCTTTTAAATCCCATCAGTATTTATGTATATATATTTAATATAATTACTTATAATATATTTATATATATATATATATAATGATTACATACGCTCATAATAATAATATATATAACCAAACACATAAATAATTATTAATAAGTAGCCCATACAAAATTTTAAACACACACTCATATATATAATATAATTAATAATGATATAAATATAATATATAAACCAAAATGAAACTCGAATGAAACCTCTGAACAAAATGAGCCTCTACACCTGCCCCTCTTTGCTCATTGTCATGCAATGAGAATAGAGTATAGATTAAAGGATGGTCATATTTGTCCAATTATGAGGAAATTGAGAGGTTAGTCTGCTCCACTACAACATCAAAGTAGGTCGGATTTGATCTGCTCTGTTATTGTTTTGGGTAATCATATCTAAAAACTTTGATTCACTTCACTGCTCTTCAGGGAAGGTTAAATCGAAGTTGATTTACTTCACTTCTCTTCAGGAAGATCAAATTTGAAAGAAAGAAGATCTACTCCACTATTCTTTAGAGGAGATAAGACTCAAAAAAATTTGATCCACTTCGTTGCACTTCAGGGAAGATTGAATCAAACTTGATTTGCTTCACTGCTCTTCAGGAAGACCAAATCTGAAAGAATAAGAATTTGTTCCATTACTATTTAGGAAAACCATATCTCTTAAAGAAATTTAATTCATTCCAGCACACTTTGGAAAGAACTGAACTGGTGTTGATTTGTTTCTCCTATCTTCAAGAAGATCGAACATGAAAATTAAACATTACCACTTGTTAGTGTATGTTTGAGAATGTGACAACATCATACCCGACATTATAGAATTTAGAAAAGTCTTTGAAAATTAATTTCTCATGTGGAAACTTGTCTCGCATCCACCATATATGGGAATCTGCCTTGACTCGAGTGTCATTTAAACTTCTCCTTTTTTAGGATTTTGAATTTGTTACTCTTATCTTGTGGTTGCAGCATCTTCAATCTTCAGCTTTCTGTTGGAAGACCAGTAAGTACTCAATTACATTTATCATCATCATTTATTAAATTCATGATCTCATTTATGTGTAAAATGTGTGTAGTAATGCAATTTTAGTGTATTTTGTTCTTCGAATAATAACCCTCTTTCATTTGTCATTTTTTGACTCGCTCCAATCTTGGTAATATAAATCATGACCTATTCACCCTAGCTGACAATCTTGGTTCAATACTCTTTGGTTGGATATGACTTTGGTTTTCTTCTTTCTTGAAACCTGACAGTATTCATGACTAGCTACTTGATCGATGGTAAATATTATGGGTTACCCTCAATTTGCTGAAACCTTCTAAAAGTTTTAGTTTTTTATAGCCCATCATCAGGCAAACCTCATGCTAAAACCATTGTCAGTTTCAAACACCTGCACTTTTCCACAACCTTTTGCTTAATAATACACGATGATCTCATGTTTTTCAAGTTAAACTATATGTTTTTAACTTCAAAGTAGGATGCTTGCAACAGGGTGTTAACAAAAAAAAGACCTCCTTTTATTTATATAAATGTAAAGAACTTTTGGGTAAATACATGGCAAACTTTTAACTGGAAAAAGTAAAAGAAAATGAAGTAGGTGTCCCCAGATATCAATAGTATGAATGGTTTTGAACTGGCACGCCATAGAGTGACTCAAGTGTAGCTTCTGTTAAAGGGATCTCGAGAATTGTTACAATACGTAAAGGTCTGAAGTTCCCTCTAGACTACCAAATCTATGGATATTAGATACCATCAGTACTAGATCTCATCTACATTTAATTTCTTTTTTGGTTGTTTTAATCGAGACTTTTTTTAATCTGCAATCCCAACTCTAATCATCATTTAACAATACCGCTCAAATCAGGAGCTCTTTCGATTTCAAAACCAATTCAAAATCTCTACCATGCACAAATCTTGAATTTGAATGATACTCAAGACGTCCTTTGCGGGTTTTCAACTTGAG